TAAGTTTCAAATCTGTATAAAAGTGGCTGAGTTTGTAAAACAATAAATATCAACAGGACTGAGTTCAAATATAAGTCAAAACAGTGATAAAAATCCCCGAAGGGTTCAAATAATTGGCACGAAGCCCAAATATGGCAATCAGCCCAAATCATGATAATAACAAATCAGTTTCAGTAAAATACGCGGTAAAATCATCATTTGGGACGGACCAAGTCACAATCCCCAGTAGTAAAAGACCCCGCGCTCATCGTCCAGCGCGTGTCTCACCTCAATATAGCACTACGATGTGCAATCCGGGGTTTCAAACCCTCAAGACATCATTTACACTCATTACTCACCTCGAACCGGCTATTTCTTTAACTTGCGACGCCTTTGCCCCTCGAATTGGCCTCCACTTGCATCGAATCTATCCAAAATCAGAACGAATACGTCATAATATGATATGGGAGCAAGGCCCAAACAAAATAATCGAAAAATACCAAAATTCTCGAAATTAGCAAAAAACCCGAGCCCCGGGCCCACATCTCGAAACTCGAGAATTTTTACATCAACGGGTTCCTTATCTCCCCACGAGTCTAACCATACCAAAATTATCCAAATCTCATCACATTTCGACCCTCAAATCTGTGATTCTATCCAAGAGGGTTTTCTAAACTTTTCCAACAAAATTCGCGGATTAAATGCCAAAACTAGTAATAGATTCAAGTTATCCAACCAAAATTAAGTTAAGAACACTTACCCCGTTGTTCTCTCCGAAAATCTCTCAAAAAATCACCTTACCCGAGCTCCAAATCGCCAAAAATGGAACTTAACATTCTGCCCAGGCCATTTGTTCATTGCGATCGCGAGAAGTGGACTGCGATCACGAAGAAGAAATGAAGGGCCCTAGAATTTGGCCTATGCGATCGCGACACAAGGCCATGTGATCGCGGAAGAGGAAGGAATAACCCTTTGCGATCGCGACACCATGAATGCGATCGCGGAAGAGGAAGAAATAACCCTTCGCGATCGCAACACCATGAATGCGATCGCGTAAAAGGAAAAGACAGTGCTTCGCGATCGCGGAGCGAGTTATGCGATCGCGATGAAGTAATTTGGCCCCCTCCGGAATTACTCTATGCGATCGCGAATGGAAGGCTGCGATCGCATAGAAGGATATCAGATACCAGCAGTTCAGCAGTTCAACAAGTTCCAAAAATGACCCGTTGGGCATCCGAAACACACCCGAGGCCCCCGCGACCTCAACCAAAAGTGCCAACACATCCTAAAACCTCATTCAAATTTGTTCCAATCATCAAAACACCCCAAACAACATCAAAACCATTGATTCACATCAAATTCAAGCCTAAGTTCTTCTAAAACTTCCGAAACACGCTTTTGATCAAAAACCCAACCAAACCACGTCCGAATGACCTGAAATTTTGCACACACATCCCAAATCACCTAACGAAGCTACAGCAACTCTCGGAATTTCATTCCGACCCTCGGATCAAAATCTCACCTATCAACTAGAAATCGCCAAAATACTAACTTCGCCAATTCAAGCCTAATTCTACACCGGACCTCCAAAACCACTTTCGATCACACTCCTAAGTCACAAATCACCTCCCGGAGCTAACCGAACCATCGAAATTCACATCCGAGCCCTCTAACTTATAAGTCAATGTCCGGTTGACTTTTCCAACTTAAGCCTTCTTAAAAGAGACTAAGTGTCTCATTTCCTACCAAAACCACTCCAAATCAACTCGATCACACAAGATACGGATAATTAAGCATAAGAAAGCTGAAAATGGGGGAAATGGAACGGTAACTCATGAGACGACTGGCTGGGTCGTCACACTATCGATCTTGTGATCGCGGCTTGGACGACAAATGTTAAGCAAGAGGCAATAGCAAATTGTTTTTGACACTGCAAAATTCGTTTGGGGTATGAAGCCTCAAGGAATTTAAATGAACCCCCTTGTGAAAATGACATTCATGAACTTGAGGTCATGATTAATGATCTCGGTTACCGCAATAAAATAGATGTCAATAGCCTGTTGGATTTCCCGGGTGAAAATGATATATGTTCAGTAGTCCAGAGCTTAGAAGAAATTATGGATACCATTGGAGAAAATAATGTTGATGATGAAGTTGAACACGATACAATACTTTGGGAACTAGTTACGTGTAAGAAAGAACTTATCACGTCTAGAACTCTACATAATTTTTGGGTGTAGTTCGAGAAGGCAACACCGAAACTTTTGGATGCAATAAGAAAAGTTAGAGATGAGCTTCAACTAGATTGAATTTTAAGAAAAAATAAAAAATACTAAAATCATATTTCACTAAATTGCCTTAGATATTTTTGTAATTTTAAAAATTATTAATTTATAATATTAATGGGCCATATATTTATATAAGGGTCTTCCTAAAATATATTATCTTATTATCTTATCGAAATCGGTAATTTTTTCACTAGCCTAAGTTGGGATCGGAGAAAAATATTATCTTAGAGAGTTTATTAATTTACCGATTATTAATTTAGAGAGGTTCTACTGTAAAACGGTTGTAATTTATTAATCAGTAACACAAGAAAATCATGAATTTAGATACTGTCAATTCATTTTTCCATCAATAATACAACATATTGGACCAACAATAACCCAGTGAGTTCTCACCAATGGCGTTTGGACCAACAATTGGTTGAAATTGAAAGAAAGAGTATTTTAAGTTGAAATTGAAAATAATATTTGGAAGTTGAGCATGTTTGACTAAACATTCAAAATTTGCTTATTTTGAGGAGAATTTTTTCCAAAAATAACTTTTCAAAGAGGTATTTTTAGAGTGAAGCAAAATTGTGTTAGACCAATTCATTTAAAAAGTACTTTTTCAGTATTTTATAAACGGTTAAGAGCATGTTTGGCCAAGCTTTTGGGAGGTCAAAAGTATTTATTGTTTTTGCTACAAAAAGTATTTATTTGAGTATATGAGGTGTTTTGCCAAAATAGAGAAGTGCTTTTGAATAACAGCAGAAATATTTTTTTTTCTTTTGGGAAGAAGCTAAAAATTCTAGCATTTTTAGTATATTTTTGTTCTTCTTCTCTTTCTTCTTTAGAATAATCTCTCTACTCTAAAGAGATCTCTTCTTTTCTCTTCCACCGTTTCTTCTTTTCTTCGTCTCATATTTCTCTTTCAAAATGTTTACCCTAAAATTCGAGTAACAATTAAACTTATATTGTGGTTTTAAGGATATATGATCCAATTCAATACCAATTGATAAACAAGGAATTAAATAGATAAATTAGGAGATAGGATAGATCAAACCAGTATGCGTGTGGAGTCTCGACCTCGATTCAAGACGGTCTTGAGATGGAGCAATAATAATAACAGTAAAGAAATGAAACAACAATGATGAACAATAACGAATAGTAAGTAAGCAGTGGACGTATGTATTATTATTAGTGAATAATCATGCTTACAAATGAATGGGATTCCTCCTTATATAATAGAGGAGTTCTAAACAAGGTACACTTCTAATTATAGTAGGATATCATATTGACAACCGATTAACCGCCGAAGATCAATCCATTCCGAAATTCACGCCATGATCTTCGATCCGTCACGGATATCTCGCTCTTTCCGTTACTGAACGATACCGGCATTATTTCGAAGTATGCCCTTTCCTGACCTCGATTAGTGATGTCGACCTCAATCTCAGAAAGCAACTTCGATCCCTGACTCGACTTTCTAGCCTTTCGCCGTGGTATCTCTTTTTCAATCAAAGAATGAAATCGGGTAGCCCCGATTTCCACCGTATACACAAAATAACAAGGCTAATTTCCAGATTCAAGAACTTTTTTCAAAAGGTATATTTCTTTTCTTTTGTAGTATACCAACATTATATAAATTCCAATTTATAATATTATTTTATATTTTTCTTTTGGCGCGCATGCATATAATATAGTTGACATAATGCAATACTATTTAGTTTGTTATTTTTTCAAGAATAGATAGTGCTTTTTTTACATGTAACTTGTAAGCACTTATGTTCCGACCAATATTATTGCTTTTATATACTTATATTTTATATTGATTAAAATGTTTGATATATATTACTTTATTTTTATACTTTAATTAAATAAAGATAAAAACTTAATTAAATTCTTTTATAATAAATATCTTAATCATTTTTAGATAATACAAATTGTAAACTAAACATTTACCGTCTATTTTCATAATTTAACATTTAAAAGTATTTTTTGAAAGATTGATTGACCACAACCATTTGTTTATCAAATATTGTAAAAAGTACTTGTAAAATAAATTGGCCAAACACAAACTGCTAATCTCCAAAAATACTTTTTCAAAAAATACTTTTGAACAAAAAACATTTTTCAAAATAAATAGTTTTTGACAGTTAGCGTCACGGCTCTAAGTGACAAAGGAACTTGGACAGATCTCTAGCATGACATGCACCATTTATCCTATGAAATTCGCAGTCATTGCCGGTCCTTTAAATAGGCTAATCATGATCCCACCTGGAAAATATCAAAAAATTTAATAATATTTCTCCGTAAAATTTTGCCAGTAGTCTTTTATTTCACTAACCATTTCTAATTTTCAGCCCTAACATCATTTTAGTCAGTTTCATTAAATAGTATTAACTGCCACTTTGCTACAGGAAGGTTTTTCTTCAACATCTTTGTGTAATATTATTCTGAAACGTAATCTGATTTCTTGCTACTTATATTGTTTAAGTTACACTGACGCCACCACACATGAAGATGGCTATGATAAAAAATGCTGGTTAAGTGCCAAATCAGGAGGTAATTGATTAATCTTCTGTTTCTTTGCTATCACCTTAATATGATTGGGTTGTGAAGACCTTTTTTAACCTTCCTCGTCTTCTGTCGTACATAATCACTACTGTCTTTTGTTAAATTCTTCTGTTTACGGTTTTGAAGAAAAAGTAAAATTGTACAACACTGTTATGTTAGCTACTAGGGTTCCAAGGTTCATTTCAGAAATTGAGACCAATCAAACAATAATCATTATATGGGCCAATTAATACCTCTTATAGTAAAGTTCTCCTTCCTATATTCAATCTGATAAAGCATTTACATACATACTCTTGGTGTGAGGAAGAACATCTACTGCAGTAGTCTATAGATTATCGTCTTCACTGTAATCATCGTCGTAATCAGAGGCTGATTCATCATTTCTGGGCTCCAGTAGAGTGTTCATGTCAAAGGATGACTCACCGGCTTCCATTTCTTCCATGTCAATAAAGTCATAACTCATCCGCTGATTAAATTTCTCATCGGTACAGTTAAGAAGCCATGCAAGGGAACACTTTAAGCCTTTTTCTGCTATCCTTTTATGTCTTGGTTTTATTGTGGACTCCAAACCATAAGTGAAGAAAGCTGGGAAAGCGACCAAATCTTCTAACGGTCTTGCCATTGTAGTTTTGAAATACTCGAAACTCTGCTTCATAATGTCTAGATTTAGAGCAAGCACCTGGGGACATCCTACAACCATTTCTCGCACTTGTTCCGAGGAAAATCCACATCCCTTGAGGAAATCAACATGCTTCACTACAGGTGCTTTACTGAGGCTGATGATCTGCGGCATCTTTTCCACAACTCTCCCAAAATCTTCAGGAGTTGATTCGATTACTGAACTAAGAAATTCTTGTTGAATTGGAAGTTTTGCCTTTAGGTCCATTCCTAAGATCTCGGGGTATTGTGCAATTACTGAAGGAAGTGCAGTTTCCCTCACGTTAAACTGTAAAAGAGATGTTATATTCGGTTTCACCCTTTCTTTCAGTCCAAATCCAAGAATGTGTGGATGCTTTTCAATCAATCTAGCCACAGCTAGCCGCGGAATTCCCAAGATTTCTAGATATTCTACGAATGGTTTAATTACCCGACCTACCCGCATCCCTAATATCTCAGGATATCTAGTCAGAACCCCACCAATTTCTCTTCTTGCCACCCCAATTCCTACCAAATAAGCTACTGATGTACTCATTGTGCCCTCAAGCTTGAATCCCAATACTTCAGGATACTTCTCCACTACTCGAGGAATATCATTTGGTTTAATATCCATGCCTTGAAGATATTTCACAACCGGCGCAAGGTCTACCACCACACTTGCATGGAGAACTTGTGGGTAACGCCGCAAAAAGTCTGTCAAAGTGGATTTTCTAACACCCAATTTGCCCAGATAATCAAGCACCGGAATCATGTTTTTCTTCACACTGCATCCCAGAATAAGGGGATAGTTGTTAATATCTTCAATTGTGAGTCCCAATTTGTGAAGAAAGTCCACCCGTTCTCTCATGACTTCCACAGTCATAGGAAGTTCTAATCCATCGAGCTCGTCAGGTACAATGCCAATGCCCCTCAAGAATTCATAAACACGTTCACGGTTGGCTGCCTTCTCATTCCTCATCTCTAATAAACTAGGATGAGTGTAGAAAGATGATCTCTTTTCTTTCCTACTGCCACTATAAGTGTCCGTCTTAACTGAAGATGAATCCAAAGAGCTTGATGAAAGAGCAGCTCTCATAGCAAAGCAACAGGGTAATCTCATTATCAGGTCCTTTTTCTTCTCATTGAAACTCGAAATACTTGGAGCTGAAGCAGATATTAACCGGGGTCGAAGGAAAGTGTTGGGGGGCAACTCGTGATTTATGAGCAAAAAACTGGGATTAATGATGCGATTATAACTAATGATCTTCATATTCTTAAGATGACAACCTGCACCAGACAGAAATGCAATTGTCAAAATAAAGCCTTCAAGACTCGCAATATCATCAGCAAATAAATTGAACAATTAATATCATTCTCTCTCTCGTGTTTTCAGTACCTAATGAGTTAAGGATGATGCGGAAAGTAAGGCCTTTCAATTGTACAGTAATGTTACGCAGAAAAAAAAGAGTAAGGCTTGGCAAAGTTAAGTATGTGGGCAACATTAAAGCATTGGATTTAACGCATGAAGTTGAAACGGCAGACGTATTCAAGTTACCTTCCTTTTCAACCACAAAGCAGAACCAAGTAGTAATAATTTTAAGCTTTAATTGATTCGGTTACAACAGAAGAATCTAAAATTGGAATGATACCAAGAAGATTGGCATGGCCCATCGCAATGATGACATCCAGAAATCAAGAAATGGTTCAAAAAAGTAATAAAAGAAGAATCTAATGTGTAGAAAACTTGTTTACTAGACTGAAAAAGAATGATAATTTCTCTCATGCTTAAAGGGCACAAGGACACGTGATACTATTTACCACAGCACTACTGTTAGTCTCTGGATGTAAAGTTACAAGCCTTTGAGATTGATTCATAGGTAATGGGATAGCAATACCATCTCTTACGTTCAACACCCAAGCACCCACGAGAAACTACTCCTAGTGTTTTCTTTTTCCCGTACACCAATCCCACCCTCATCCCACTCCCCAAATTGACTCTTTTATGAAGCTTTTTTTTAGCTTTAATTGATTCGGTTATAACAGAAGAATCTAAAATTGGAATGATACCAAGAAGATTGGCATGGCCCCTCGCAATGATGACATCCAGAAATCAAGAAATGGTTCAAAAAAGTAATAAAAGAAGAATCTAATGTGTAGAAAACTTGTTTACTAGACTGAAAAAGTATGATAATTCCTCTCATGCTTAAAGGGCACAAGGACACGTGATACTATTTACCACAGCACTACTGTTAGTCTCTGGATGTAAAGTTACAAACCTTTGAGATTGATTGATAGGTAATGGGATAGCAATAACCATTCTCCTTTACGTTCAACAACCCAAGCACCCACGAGAAACTACTCCTAGTGTTCTCTTTTTCCCGTACACCAATCCCACCCTCATCCCACTCCCCAAATTGACTCTTTTATGAAGCTTTTTTTTTTTTAAAAAAAATGATTAACAGCTTCCATAAGTTTTTTATGAAAGATGTTACAGATCATTAAACAGCTCTACAGGGAGTAGACCTTACGAAAGTAAAATATTTGGGAAAAGGTCAGCACTATGCACATGTTAGTTTGGGAATTACAAACAGAGATGAAATTTTTTTTTGATAAGGATCATTAATCTTTTGAAAGAGAGCCTTGGAGCAATGGTCAAGTTGTCTTTGGGTGACCTATAGGTCACGGGTTCGAGCCGTTAAATAAGAGCTTGCATCAGGGTAGACTGCCTGCATCAAACCCCTTTTGGGGTGCGGCCCTTTCCCCGACCCTGCGGGAATGCAGGATGATTTGTGCACCGGGCTGCCCTTTTCTTCGATCATTAATCTTTTGAGATTTAAAAAGACAAGGACATAAACTATAAAACAAAAGAGACTCGTAAAGTTCGCCGAGTTACTTTTTTTAACATTCCCAATTTGGAAATTGTTGAAAGAGTGCCATCCCTAGTTTTCTTCCAGGGAACTCTACTTCTCAAACAAATACGCATAGCCATACACAATCTGCGAGACCACCAAACTGTGTTACTTATTTTCTGTAAGAAGGGTGCCCAGATATTTCCCCCTAACTACAGATACCAAGTGAATCACCAAGCCTTCCCAATAGCAGATGTATCATTTGTACCTTCTAAGCTGCTTAATTGACGACAAAACAATCAAAAATAGTCAACTTCTTTCAAGAACTGAACGCATCACACTAGTTAGAACAGGTAGCATCTATCAGTGAACCCTATAAAAAGATTAACTTGACGCCAGCATATCCAGGTCAACCATTACCTAATCGAAACACTAAATAGTGACTCCACAAACATTTTAGACTTAGCGACATTTCCAGCTAAAGAATTACCCAAAGAAGAGAATGTCTCCAGTAGACATTTCTTATCACTCCTAGGGCCTTATAGATCATGGTTAAGAAACTACAAAGGAAAATGCGTGGTTGGTGCAGGTCACTAATTTGAACCCTGCAGCTAGCTAAAGCATGGTACTTAAGTGGGAGAGCTCATATTCCCCGAGTTTCAAACTTGTTCGGTTATAAATAAAAAAATAATAATAAATGTCTATAGCAGACAGCTCAAATAATACCAAGCAGATAGTTATTAGGTAATAAACAAGAAAGGTAATTGGAGAAAATGTTACTCTTTTTGGAAAATTATAATTCTTGTCAGTAGCCATCCATATAATCGCAATGAGATGTTACTCTTAACCACTACAGGATTTATTCTACAGTTTATTAGCATCGGTTCACTGAGTTTCTAATTTAACAATGAGTTTACAGTAGAGGAAATGAAAGCTAAGTAAGAGGGACGAATCATATAGTACTCTAAAGGAAACATACAACAAAATCAAATGAGGTATCTGAATAAACTTACCAGAAAAGAGAAATAAAAGGAATGAAGCCGACGGATTTTTCCTCCAGGTGAACAAGGGCGCAAGTCAGGTGTGTAAAAAGAGAAAACAGAGAAGATAATGGTACAAAGTGAGTCGCAAGGAATGAGTTTGGGCTTTTACTTGCTGGGCATATGTGGGCTACAAAAGTGGATATTAGGTCTGGTTGTGATGGGCCACAAATCTTGGGCATTGCTTGGCTAAAAATTACACGGGGTGCCCTATTTGGCCGCCCCCATTTAACCTATACCCATTTTTTTAAAGTTTTAACTTGTACCCACATTTAAACAACTTAAGCCCCCTTTCTTCTCCTTCATTTTCTTCTTCTTTCTTTTGGGGGGTAATCCAGAGATCGTTGTTATACAAAGTTCTGTTTTCATGCCAACTACTTTTGTTTTCAGACGTTAAGAGTTTCAACTGAAATACAAACTAAAACAGATTTTTGGCAGCCATGGTTGAACTCACATTGGAGAAGAGTAAAACATTGCAAGGAAAAAGCTTGGATGAACAATCAATCACTCAAAATGATGAACAAAATTCAAACCATGAACGCCTGGAGGTAGGCAGCCTTCCTGTCTCCGGTCATTAATGTGTTGTATAGAATATTACGACAAGTATAAATACTTAAATAATACTTGTACGACACAGTAGTTCAGTAGAAGAAACCAGACTAGCATTTTCATGTGTGAGACAAGAGCAAATCAGAAAAACTTCAGCTAGTTACAAAACAAAAACTTCGCCAGTTACAAAAACAAAAACTCCAGCTCTCGCCAGTTACAAAAACAAAAACATCAGCTCTAGAGTTGAAGTTAGGTGTGTGCATTCGATTTATCGATTCGATTTTGACCCTTATCGATAATTACTTATCGATTATCGATTTATACATATGCTTATCATTATCGTTTCAATAAGGTTTCGATTTTTTTGGATTTCGATTTATCAATTTTGGGGGCTTATCGATTCGGTTATCGATTACACCAATAAGAAAATTTGCGGGATTCTACGGAAAGTATATCGCTATAAACGCGACTAACTAATATGGACAAAAAGAAGCTAAAATAAGACGAACACCATTTATAATATAAAAATTGTGTCAACAAGTACATACAACAAAACTAAAGTAAGGGATCAAATGTATGCCACCAACACTCCAACGGTATAAAAGAAACAAAACAAAACAAAACACATCATCACGGCTAATTCTGTTTTCCATTAATTTGAACTTCATTCCCTTGATCTTTAAATATGATCATTCCTTAAATGTGGTAGAGGAAATAATAGGGTAAGGGACTTAGGGTAAAGGAAAAGGTATAGATTAGGGAAAATAATATTGTATAGCCGCTTTCAAAATAGTAGCGGAATATATATACATTTTGTATGTTATATTAATCTACACAAATAGGTAATTACTCATTTAACAAGTGTCTACAGTCTAGGGGTGTGCATTCGATTTATATATTCGATTTTGACCCTTATCGATAATTACATATCGATTATCGATTTGTACATGTGCTTATCATTATCGTTTCAATAAGGTTTCGATTTCGATAACAAATAATCGATTCGATTTATGGATAAACCGATTCGAATGCACACCCCTAGTTGAAGTTCGCCAGTTACAAAACAAAAACCTTCAGCTCTAGAGCTGAAGTTCGCCAGTTAAAGAGCTGAAGTTCACCAGCTACAAAAACACAGTTACAAAACAAAAACTTCGCCAGTTACAAAATAAAAACTTCAGCTCTAGAGCTGAAGCACACTTGCTACTTCAGTCCTGTCTACTAGAATGCTGAAGTTTTGCGTGATTGCCTTTGCTAATTCAGCCCCGTATGCTGAAGTTATGCGAAGTTCGCAAGTTACAAAACAAAAACTTCAGCTCTAGAGCTGAAGCACACTTGCTACTTCAGTCCCGTCTACTAGAATGCTGAAGTTTTGCGTGATTGCCATTGCTACTTCAGACCCGAATGCTGAAGTTACGCGAAAAAGTGGGTACGCTTGCAATTTCTTTTGCAAAGCGGGCACAAGTTAAAACGTGACCCAAAAGGCGGGCACAAATTTGCATCTATACCCGCTTTTTGGGTCACGTTTTAACTTGTGCCCGCTTTGCAAAAAAAATTGCAGGCGTACCTACTTTTTCGCGAAACTCCAGCATACGGGGCTGAAGTAGCAAAGGCAATCACGCAAAACATCAGCATTCTAGTAGACGGGACTGAAGTAGCAAGTGTGCTTCAGCTCTAGAGCTGTAGTTTTTGTTTTGTAACTGGCGAACTTCAACTCTAGAGCTGAAGTTTTTGTTTTGTAACTGGCGAACTTCGCGTAACTTCAGCATACGGGGTTGAATTAGCAAAGGCAATCACGCAAAACTTCAGCATTCTAGTAGACAGGACTGAAGTAGCAAGTGTGATTCAGCTCTAGAGCTGAAGTTTTTATTTTTGTAACTGGCGAACTTCAGCTATAGAGCTGAAGTTTTTGTTTTATAACTGTATTTTTGTAACTGGTGAACTTCAGCTCTAGAGCTGAAGTTTTTGTTTTTTAACTAGCGAACTTCAACTCTAGAGCTGATGTTTTTGTTTTTGTAACTGGCGAAAGTTTTTATTTTTGTAACTGGCGAACTTCAGCTCTAGAGCTGAAGTTTTTGTTTTGTAACTGGCTGAAGTTTTTCTGATTTGCTCTTGTCTCACACATGAAAATGCTAGTCTGGTTTCTTCTACTGAACTACTGTGTCGTACAAGTATTATTTAAGTATTTATTGTTGTCGTAATATTTTATACAACACATTAATGACTGGAGACAGAAAGACAGGAAGGTTGCCTACCTCCAAGCGTTCATGGTTTGAATTTTGTTCATCATTTTGAGTGATCGATTGTTCATCCAAGCTTTTTCCTTGCAATATTTTACTCTTCTCCAATGTGAGTTCAACCATGGCTGTCGAAAATTTGTTTTAGTTTGTATTTCAGTTGAAACTCTTAACGTCTGAAAATCAAAGTAGTCGTCTGAAAATCAAAGTAGTTGGCATGAAACAGAACTTTGTATAACAATGATCTCTGGATTACCCCCCCCCCCCCCCC